CACACTCTCCGTCCACTTTATTTATTTGTAACAACCCTGCTTCATTTATCTCTTTCACTCTTTTCTGTAATTATTGTTACGCCTTTCTCGTATTTATTTTCCGGCGAAGCTCCCTTCTCTGTTTTCTTCTATCTTTTTTCACAACATAGAGTAGATTTGTTTCACTTCCTATCCCTCGTCTATTCTTTTTCTGTCTCTGTACTGCTCAGTTGCTTGCAACTGGAATGTAGGGCTTCAGGGAGGACTACCTTGCAAATTTGATACGACTTCATCTCTGTCTCTTCCTGCTGTAACATTAACGTTGTTTAGCGCAGCCATTCTCGTAGTTGTGAAATGAATATAATAAAGTTTGGTGCATAATATTGAAAGTGACAGGCGGGTGCTCCAAATATGAAATTAGAAAGATGAGTTTTAAGCAATATAGAAAACGTGGAAACGTTGTGATGACATAATATAATCATACTAAGACATGAAACAGTCATTAAAAGCGAAAGAAAAAGAATGTCAAGAAATTATTAACGTGTATGAATTCCCCTGCATTTCCATTTTATTGCGAACCTAGTCCATCCCTCGCCGCTGCATTGATCGCCGTGTATTTTCACTCACTCTTACTGCCATCCTATAATGTCCTACACGTGAAGGACGACGGTGAAAATACATCCCCCAGGAGGTAAATAAGTTCCGAAAATATTGACATAAAGGACTGCACGTCAGGATATGGAGAAGATTTATGGCTACATTAATAAAGAGGAAGAAAAACCCTTTTTTAATGCACGGAATCGGCACTTTCGCCAATTATTCATCAAAATGTTTTCGTTAAATTTTCACATTCAAATAGCCCTTCTAGGTAATGTAAACGTTTTCAGTGTAAGGGATAGCTATTGCTAAGTATAATCCGAAACTACACCATTTTTTGCGAAGATTAATTAATTTTGACATCCTTCTTTTCCTATGTAAATTTGTTGGGATAGAACGTTATTCCCAGAGATTGCTTCGGAATATCATTTTCATTTTTTAGTATCGCATGTTCCTTGTAACTTTTTATAGTCAAATTCATTATCATCGGGTTGACGTGTGCTGTGAATCAAGTGATGTGATACCTTTTGTGATTTAAATTAATGTCGTCTATAATGTGAGATCTTCTCAGGTCCCAAAACGAAAAACAAGACTCCATTGAATGGGAATAAATGTGATTATCGTCAGTTGGTCTTCGTGAATTCAATATTAAGCGGCTGTCAACTTACTTATATCCGAACTATTATATAATAATAATAATAATAATAATAATAATAATAATAATAATAATAATAATAATAATAATAATAAGGAGTACCTTCATGTTGCAAATGTTTAATCGTTTTATCGCTACAAGCACCTTAAAAACAATCACATTGCCAATAGATGACTAAGGCATAGTCGTTTCACTTTATGTATTATTTTCATTTATGTTGACGAAATATTAGAAATCTAAATAGTCCATTCACTCATTCAAATATTCGTAAAAACCTCTATTAGAGATACAAACGAAATGTCACCCAGTGATTTTTAGCATAAGTATATAAATTGATCAATCCTATACTGCTTCTACCCTTTCAAATGTTCTCCTCAACATTCATACTACGAAAACTTTTCCCAACTTCAATAGATGCCCAATCTTTTGCAGATGATGGTTAACAAAAAAATATATATAATTTACGTTTGACTTAAGCTCAATTCTGTGTAAAACTTGATTCACAATATTTTATTTATGGATGGTTTGAGATTGATCGTTGGCATTTCAATTATAGCTTTCATTACTCTGTTGATTCTTAACTTCATTGATTTGCACTCACTTTACATTGCTTCTAATTGAAGCAGAATCATAGCTAAAAATATAGGATAATGTAAAAGAAGGCAAACCTGACGAGAACGGCAAACTCGCCATCCCATAATTTAAAATCCCAATTATTTTAAATTTTAAATTAGTGAGTTTGTTCCTTCACTACATTTTACTTTGTATTTACATGTGTTCACTCATTTACATACTTTATTTTTTATTTGTATTTATTAGATTACGAAACGATTTACTTTACAAAATATGATTCTTTGTGTAACTATTTAAAACTATTATTAATTGACATATCCTGTTTTTTCTGGACTCTGACGTATTGTTTATAACCTGTGATAACTACAATTCAGAAAATTTTAAAATGATCTTTTAACCATTTATTTAAAAATATAAAATTATCTTCTTTTTTTATAATCATCATACTTTCTAATTTTTAGACATCGTTATGCAGCACAAAATAGTTTCTTTGGCACTTGTGTATCAACTTTAATTAATATTATGTGGCAATGTGAAAGTGACGTACATGTATTATACAATTGGATGTGGATACAATCTTGTAGTGAGCTGTTCATACCGATACATAGTGGCTGGGATTTCTAGACGTGTGTTATCATAATAAATATCTGAATTGCATAAAAATATAATAAGTTCCCGCCATTAATTAGTCAAAAAAACAGGTTGACCAAACATTTTATTTGTTTATTATTCAATTCTTTTATTATTATCAGAAGCTTATTTTCTCGTTTTTTTGTTTTTTTTAAATTTATAATCCCTTCCATCCCCATCTCGTGTTTTAGTGGATTTTCTACGGAACCTATCGGTTTCCGATTCAAAATCAAACTGCCTCACGGTTGCGATTGCCAACGGAACATGGATAGGGTTTTGTTTCCATTTGATATTCTCTGATGCATGGACGAAATATGAAAAGGGTCATTCGTTGGAGCATCCCATATTGGTTATCTACCCGTGATTTTTGTACTATTCTTGTAGTTCAATCTGCTCTCTTGAATGTTATTCACATTTCTGATGTTTTAGTTTTATTTTGTGCTATATTTATATATTTAAGTGTGAGTGTTAAGCTCTCGTTGGAGTCAAGACTATACTGTGCGTTTTCCTTACAATGTCACAGTATACGTTGCTCTGTGACAAAAATTCACTTCCCAGGTTGAGAAGACCAGAGTACGGCGTGACGATATCTACATGCTAACCACACGTGCCTCCTTAACCCATGGCCACGAGGCATGGACGTCGCCGGTTGGCCTGAGTCCGTTCACGGGCTGTCACGCCAAGTACATACATACATACGTTATTCGCATATGTAGTCTATGAGATTTAATTAGTTTTATCTATGTGTTGCCAAACATAAATTATAATAAGTATGAGTTTAAATTTGTATCATTATAGTAGAGATATCGGAGAATTAGAATGCATCCCCATCCGAAACCTCGTGATGTTTGGAGATGTAATAAAGATGCGATGTTTGATATGAGGAAAGTAGTTATCTTCATTGTTCTTTTTATGGAAAATGTGATTATTAGAACTTGCAGTAACTGTAGTTATTTTTTGTACTTTATGTACTATGATACCAATGAATAGAAAAAAAAGAGAAAAATATGTTTTTTGTACAGACTTCGTGGTCCCCTTCTTCCTAACGTAATTCCGCAATATTTCTGGGGTAACCGCCGATTGTATTCAATAAAAGGGTGAGAATTCGTCAAAATCCACGCCATTCTCCTGACCCCGGCATATCTGTTCAGCATCCTCCATCTCGCCCAGCTTTCACCCTATAGTCCCTAACGGCGAGGTCGTACCTTCACTCGCCCCGTTTCTTCCCCCCCTACCCGCATGCGGCGGTTGGAGGTTTCTCGAGCATGTTCTTATTAATAAATTCAGCATAGACCATTGTAGAATCACGACCATTGATGAATAATAAAATAAAATTGGTTCACGGGATTCGGCAATGTGATTAGAGAAACAATTAGTTGCACCATCGTCTCGATTATTTTCTCTCTTAACCTTGATTAATAATAATAATAATAATAATAATAATAATAATAATAGTAATAGTAATAATAATAACAATATAATAACAATTTTGACCAATACATCTAGATACCTTTACATAAACTTTACTTATAATATTGTCCGGTTGTATTGCTAATTTAACTTGAACTTCACTGGAAACACATAGTGGTGTGGCATGGAGTGGCTGTAATGGCTTGAAATGAGACTTTACCGTCATCATTATTAGTCTCTATTTTTGGCGTTTTATTTATCTTAGTTTATAATTTTGTTCTTTTGTTTTTGTGTGTGTAATGTTAATTAATTAATAAATAAATTTATTGTAATATTTTTGTCCTCATCCCCTGTTAATCGTTTATACTCTAGCCCTGATGAATAAATTGAATATTTCGAAATGTTGGCGCAACCAATTGTTTTTCTAACCAAAATGACAAATCTGTGAACCAATTTTATTTTATTAAATTCATCATTCGCATTTGGCATCTGCATATTTGAGCAATATGTGCGAGTGTTTGCACACGCTTTTCTTCATTTTCCCCCGAAAAGGAGGTGTGTTAGTTCATTTTGCGGGGGGGGGGGTTAGTGGTCTGCCGACGCGGAGCAGAACGTAACAAAATGTAATAAATCTAAAATAAGTAACAAAATTTAATAATTGTGTTACTTATTTTAGATGCCTTTATAAATTTTTGTGCCAAAAATTCCGAAGGTTTGTAATAAAACGAAGCCAATTCAATTTAAGTTCGTGCAGGAATTTATTGAATAACATTCAACGTCTAAGAACTAGAGGAATCAAAAGCTTAGGGAGCAAACGTTAGCGCCACTATTCACTTAGGTAGTACCAGGTACGGCCTCTAGTACCATACCAGGAACGACGTACATTCACTCGCCCCATTCCTTGTCCCTCACCCGCCTGCGGCTATGGAAGGCTTTTTCGAGCGTGTTCACATTAATAAAGCCAGCATCTGCATTTTGCATACGCATATTTGAGCAACGCGCGTGAGTGTGGTACGCGTTTTTCTTCATTTCTCCCGGAAAGGGAAGCGTGCGTGTGTTAGTTAATTTTTTTTTCTGCAGTAGGGATCTGCCGCCGCCGCCATTAGGTAACAAAATTTAATAATGATGTTGCGTATTTTAAGTGCCTAAATCATAAATGTATGTGCCTAAACGTAGTGATAAAACGGAGCCAATTGAACGTGAGTTCGTGAAGGATTTCATTGAATAACATTCGTATTGGAAATAATGGAACCGAACGGTAGGGATGCAAACATTAACGCCACTAGTCACTTAAGTCGTACCAGGTACGGCCTTTAGTACCGTACCAGGTACGACGTACATTCACTCGCCTTGTACCTTATCCCGCACCCGCCTGCGGCTACGAAACGTTTTTTTTTTCGAGCTTGTTCATATTTATAGAGTAATTTTCCACATTTTGCTTACGCATATTTGAGCAGCGTGCGTGAGTGGCGTACTCGCTTTTCGTCGTTTTGCTCGGCAAGGGCGTGTGTTGATTCTTTTTCGTCTGCCGTAGGTGGCTGCCGGCGCCGCGGCGGCCTCAGCGCTTCCTGCGTGCCGCCGGTGCTCGCGCCGCCCCCGCCCGCAACGCAAGGTGAGTAGGAGACTATCTGCAATGGGATTTTGAAATATTGATGATTTTGTATAGATATTTTAAGTGCAGGGCATTTCCAACCTGTAAAGCCCAACGCAATTTTGTGCGCTCGACCATTGTTGTCGCGTCCGTGCGCGCAGACATTGTTGGGGCTTTCTGGTGGCAAGAATTTGCAATGTTTAGTGCGAATCCATTGTTATTTTGCTAAATTATACTAGAGCGTTCCAGAACACCAAACTGTGCTTAAATGAGCATTTGTTCTATAATACGTCGCAAAACCGTTGGAACTTAGCTGCATATGCCCCGTCAGCTTCAATTCGGGGCCAACGAACCACCGTTTGTTTTACACCGGGCTCTCCCAATCACAGTCATATAGCAGCTAAGAACAAATTTGGATGAAGCTTCGAACCGACGCAAGTCATTAATAGCCCTGGCCAGGCTCGAGATAGTTAAGGTTCACGATGCCGTAGCGATCTTGGCCAAATCGACATCTAGTAATCAAGAATGAAAAAAAAAGTTTATATATTTCATTTAAGATGCTCCGTCTATTGAAATGAAATTCGAAAATTACTTCAAAAGTTGCAAGTTAACCAGAAATACGGTTTCATATAAGTATAAAGGGCATTATAGGATAGGGCTCAAGCCTGGCAACATCGCTATCAGGCAAAAGTCGGATTCATCCAACCCTAAAAGTACCAAATACATTCATACATTTACACGTGTGACGAGCGTGAAGGTGTTGGCGCATGGTCGCATGTGGTCAGAGTAATTCGATACCGGCGTCGACACTTTGTCGTGGTAATACTCTCCTGGTTATGCTCTTTCAAGCGTGGACGTGCAAAACATGTCACGTATATGATGCCGCCATTTCGAATGTCTCTCGGTGTGCTTTCGAACTCCAGCACTGGCAATTACTCTGGCGTTCCTCCAATTGAATGGTGCATGTCGCTGTGCACGGGTACAGCTATGTTTTATATGAACACCAAGTCGCTACCTTCCTCAACTACTCGAAAAATATTGGTATTGTGGTATGTTGGTGAAAAATATTGGTATTGTGGTGATTATTCGGTGGCATTTACAATGAAATAATAATGAGTTGTCATTGCTAACGATATTGTTTATCATCAGATTTAGCCATCAGTAGCAACAGCTTCCTGCTGTATGGAATCCAAAAAAAGACTACCGTAGTACCATAAACGACGGCTGTGGTCTTGCCAGTCCGAACCGAGATCAAAGGATATCGAAAACTAATACGTGAAAGTCTGTGCCAATCGTTAGCACCACTAGATTTCTATTTCACACTTTTGTGGAATTTTGGACGAAGATTCAAGTCCTTTCTATTTTTGAGTTTGGCTATCAAAATTGAATCGAAGGTCAATCTGAGGCTCCAATTAGACAGGCAGCAGTGAATCGGAAGGAAACCAATTGTTGCCGTTGTGTGCGGCAGTTCAAAAGACGCACCGGGTCAACGGCCCGAAGCAGCTTCCCTGAAGTGTCGCAGCGGCAGCCGAGCAGCGAGGCTATGCGGGGGCCGGATGGAAAACTGGGCAGCGCCGTCGGAGCAGTTGGCAGTGTGTGGGAGAAGTCTGGCGTCTCTGTGAGAGACATTGAAGTTTTCCGATACTGGTTGTAACTTGGCATTGTCATTGAATATTATTCTGGATTAACTGTCGATTGTGCTACACATTGTGCATCTCCTGGTTTAACGTGGTTTTGGCTTCATTTCTGGATATTCTATTGTTTGTAAACAATTTGCCTGTGAGCTTAAGAAAACTTGATGCTGATAGCTTGTGTTTTACCTGGATACAGCACCAATAACTCAGTTGACAGCCTTAACTGTAATTGCTTTTGTCGTGAAACGGAGTGTATTGGAGTGTGGCGAGTGACGTGTTGCTCGTCGAACAAGATACAAAGACAAGTTGATTGTGCAGATAGGTGTCGCTGTCTGGTGGCACCGCCTGGTAATTGCAATGCTTGTGTGAATGCTGACGCGCACGGGAGCTGCTAGCTACGTGTTTTGCTGTGCGCGCCTTGTCTCCTCCAGCGCTCACATTGGTTAGCGATAGTTGCGATGTCTGGTGGCGTAGATGCGCTCCGGGCACGCGGTGCCTCAGGACTCAACTCGTGGAACTGCAGATTGTGACAGTGAACGTTGCCTCTATTGGAGGAAGATCTCCGTTCCTGAGAATTCAAGTATTTCAGAATATGTTACAAGCTTCTTTGGCATGTAGAGGACTCGAAGATCACTTTTGGCCAATAGACATATGGAACATTTCATATAACGAAGGATGTTTGGCAGATAAACGAAAATTCTTTGACTGTGTCAGAACGGAACTGCCGACCACTAGTATATGCGGTGTTGCCCAACAATCAGGGAGTAAATGTCACATCTGTAACTTCGTTATATGAAATTTCTCACAGGTTCAGGGGTAACAATCTTTTACCCCTCTACATGCCGTAGAAGTTTGTCTCATTTCGAGACACACACACACACACACACACACACACACACACACACACACACACACACACATATATATATATATATATATATATATATATATATATATATATATATATACAATGTGTGTGTGTGTGTGTGTATGAAGACTTTTCGACCAAAACCTGCTCATTCCCCTTTTTACCAAAATTCACCTTGTGGCCTTTTTGATACGTTTAAGGAGTCTTATATAACGTTAGGGTTACACTTCATCCAGTACTGTTCATTTCCACTAAAAATGGAGTCAGAATGTATACAATTCATATCAACACTCAAGTGGGTGCGAAAAGAGTTTTGCTTCTCTTATATTTTTTTTACAATTGGACTTGCGTGGTTTTTATTACTAACCACTAATTTGTTTTCACCGTTTTTCAGCGATGATTTTCGAGCTGAAAAGTATTTAGAAATAGCAAGTGCAATTTGCAAGAAAACAATCTCTGAAATTGCTTGCTGTTTCATCTTTTTCTAACTTCACTTCTGTGATAATGGTTCGAACGAAAGTTATTAACGTCGAGGATGTTTGTTATCCCTGAGAAAGAAAATGCATCTCTTGAACCATCAACACCTACGTTCCCTTTCCACTCCCCGCACTGAAAACCGTTTCGAAGGAAAACAATTTCATTTCAACTTTAGCATTATGCTTCATAAGGCAGTACATTTCTGAAGAAAACATTTCTGGGAAAAATTTGTATTTTGAAGTAACATTGGCTTGCCCTCCGCGAAGTTCCAATACTGCAAAGCAAATGTTCGTTGTGATTGACGTTGTCGTTGCCTAAAACGGAGGGACCACTGACATTCCTTTTAGGGTAAACGAGAAGAATAAAGGGCGCAAGAATATCGAAGAGGGCGCCCTCGCTTTCGGAATGGGCGTGCGTGACTCGAACGCGGTATCAGCGTTGACTCTTTCTTCTCGACCGCTCCTCGGAAAGACAAAAGGCCGAAGGCACATGAAGCACTGGAGTCGCGTGCAAATTTTTTTCCGCGTGAATGTTCTCTTTGGAAGAAACAGCCTGGGCCTTTACGTAAATGACGTAGTCTAAAGCAGTAAATTACATTCTCGAGGGAGTTACGTACATCACTATCCCATGATATGTGTAAAGTCTGTCAAAATTACAAGCAGTAGAGATACAAATTAGAATCTCGTTAATTATTACAAGGGTTACATTAGGATGTTAAGTTAATAAAATTAGGATGTTAAGTTAATAAATGTTATATAAGGAAAAATATAATTATCAACTTGTGGCAAAGTAATCAAATCACACAAAGGTGTTCATCAATGTAAGGGATGTCAATCTGGTGGCCGAGATAGTTAAGATAGTTGTGCCGTAGCGATCTCCGACCGAAGGAGTTCTTCCGTCTTCACAGTATCCATATCGATAAATCCAATAGTGGGCGCTAATGACCTTGATGTTGATGCGACCTTAAATAACTAAAAGAAATGTAAGGCGGATCGAAGCTTGTTAATACTTTCAGTTTTTGCGAAACTCCTATTTATTTTCGAAAAGTTTGATTGAGCCAATGAACCTTACATTTATGTTAACTTGTGATATTTTATTCATGAATGTTTGACAGTCGAAGATTTAGAATCACATCAAAACACATCAAGACAAGATGTGCCCACGTTCCTCAGTTGTGGGGTTGGCTGGCTCACGCCTTGGAGTATGTTGATACTAGCATGCGGTGGGTTGGCAAGCTACATTCGTGTAGAGTAATAAATTAATGCAAAAACCATTTTTAAATGTTTTATTTGCACAAATAATTGGAAGCAAGTTAATTATCGCTTTGTTTTGCATAACAGGCTTTCAGTGACAACTACATCAGCATGGGTAGTTTCAGAATTAAGTATTTAAAATACAGCATTTAATTTTATTTAATTAATTGTATTCCATCGATATAGTTACTTCAATATGTAGTTAATATATTTCTTTGATGCCCTTTTTTATCTCAAAAACTTCCCTTACTACTTTTAAACATACGAAATCCAGAGCCATCTTAACATTTGAAAACCCGCCACAAGTCACCTATTTCTTTGACTAATTTTCACGTGGGGGAGTGAACTACATTTTTCCCCAAACCAACTAGGATGGCTCATGGGCAGCATACTAGTGTGGCGTTGTTAACACGAGGGCCAGAACCGTTATGTCGGTGAAAGTGCGCTGCGGGGGAGCAAGGGGTTGATCCTGAACTTCCGGGATTTTGCGCTCTGGCAGTTGACGCAGACAGCGTAGCAGAGCCAAAAATAACCTTAGGCTGTAAACTCCTAGGATGCTAGCCAGCGAGCCCTCGCTTAGAGACAGCAGGCGAGCCTACCTGGGAATCTTGTGTGTGGGGGTGTAGCCCCCTCCTAAGATGTTAGCCAGCGAGCCCTCGCTTACCGACAGCAGGCGAGCCTACCTCGGAAACTTGTGTGGTGGGGGTGTAGCCCTCAACTATTTAACGCGGCGCCAACTGCGCCCGCGTTCTCATTCAGTTTACATCGGAGAGCGTTGTACAAGTAGGTACAAGGAGTGTAGGAGTGTGGGCGAGATGGCGTAAGGGCCAGACGATCTCTCGTGCTGTAGGCACACGGTTCGCCACGACCGGTTTAAATTTTGGCGTCAGGCCATGTGACGGTAATTGTCACGGGACGGAAGTCCGACAACTCGCATCACGCGTGGCTTTTATTTTTCTGCGGTAAAGCCGGGTACTGGAAGGGAAAGGTTGCCGTAGTGTTTAAATTTAGCAATTTATTGTAACTTGTCTATAACCTTTTAATATACTATTTATATTTTGTTATTTGAATTTATTCTCATTTCACTACGTCACACTAGCTTCTAGTGCTGCGATCCCGAGTTCGATTCCCGATCGAATCAAACATAGAGTTTTAGCTTTCCTTTAAAATCGTCTCAGTTTCTCAATCTGTGTGACGAAGAAAAGTTTAGTCAGTCGGAGTTTGTTATTTATGACGAACCTACCCTACAACAGAATGTTCCCTACAACAGAAGCCTAGGAATAAAAATGGGATCAGGCGTGGGGAACACTGTTAGCTGGCAGGCGAAGTCGGACACTCGACACAAAATACCAAATATTGCCTGGATTTGGGCCATGTCCATGTTTTGTAAGTGTATAGTAATTGCGTCGGCTGCTTCTCTACGTGAGAATGTCCCTTCCTCCTGATGTAAAGGGAACGTTCGGTTTCTACCCATTTGATTCGGTAATGTATTCAAAACTTTCGATTTCTATGGAAACGGTATTCAATTATTTTGCTTCTGATTCTTGCTAAAATCGATTTCAAAAGTTTGAAATCAAACCTAATTAAAAATAAAAATACGTTTCTCTCCCATGTTAGGTCATATACATTTCAATTTTTTCACAAATATATAAATATCAAAATCTTTTAATCCCTGCTGACTGACAAATTTTAAGCGCTTTTCATTTTTAAATTTTAAAAATATCAATTTTTAACCTGAATGTAAGTTTGGGCTTCATTGCGAGTGTAATGTACACAACAATTTTATGGGAGTGCTGTTACGCTAATTGTTCTTGATGATATCACAATCTGCTGTCGACATAAATAACATGAACACAGAAACACGTGTATTTTGATCATCCTCGTATGTTTCGGCAGTTTACCATACACATTCAATCCTTAGTACAAAGAAAAATAGTGCAGATGAGCTATTTTAGGTGTTCGGGTCTGCTAATGATACTTTAGTTTGCTACGTTTTTACTTCCTAGTTTTATTATTCTCGTATGGTGAAAATACGATTCTTTTGGGTATCGACACTTTTCTTGCAATTCGCCTCGTGAATCGATACTTCCATTGAATACGTTTGACTTTTCCACCACGCAAATAGAAAATTTCTTTGGGAATCGATTCTTTTTTGTGATTCGATTCCTGTGTCGATTCCAGACCCGATTCTTTTATAGGAATCGAATGCCCCTACCCACGCGGCGCGCGTCCGCCAACAGCCCGTCTGCGCGAGCGCCGAACGCGGGGCGCTGAGAGCGAGGTGTTGAAAGGCCCCGAGTGCTGCCGCCCGAGGGGCGTCGATTTCCCGCGAACGCCGCCGCGCACTTCGCAGCCGCCGCCGCCGCCGCCGCTAGCGCCACTGCCGCAACCGCCACTTCCACTGCCCCCGCTCGGCTCGCCG